CTTGCAGTGAGCCAAGATCGCACCACTGCACTCCAGCCTGAGCGACAGAACAAAACTCTCTAAAAACAAAACAAAACAAAATGACAACAAAAAAGAATCAGCAGAAACCATTAGAAGCAATGCAAGAGTTCAGCTAGATTGCCAGCTATAAGAACATAGAAAAATCAATAGCTTTCTACTGTATCGGGAGTAACTAATTATAAACTATGGCAATAATAAGGTACCATTTATAATAGTGACATAAACTAAAAGCTATCTAGGAATAAATCTAAGATAGAATGCATAAAACATATAAGGGAAATTTAAAACTCTATTACAAGAGTTTTATTATGGTATTAAAGAGCATAAATGAAGCATTCATAAATGGCTCCATTGAATATTGTGACGATGTCACATTCCCTTCTCCCCTCTTACAATTTAAATTCAGTCTCATCAACATCTAAGAATTTTTTTTTGAAAGGGGCAGAGTGGAGGCTAAAATTTATATGGGATAATAAATACAGAAAGAGGATCTCTGTTTTTTCTTTAGACATTAGCAATATAGAGCAGGAGTTGGCAAACTCCCCCTATAAACCAAATCTGGGCTGCTGCCTGTTTTTTCAAATAAAGTTTTACTGGGGCCCAGCCACACCTACTCATACTGCTTTCATGTTGCCATGACAAAGTAGAGTAATTGCAGCAGACACTGTGTGGCCTGCTGTGTCTGGTCCTTTACAGAAAAGAGAAAAAAAAAAAAAATGTGCGACCTCTGTTCTACAGCATCTGGCTCTTACGCAGAAAAGAAAGGCGTCTAGACTTATTCCTGTGTGTATACGGGAACTTAAAACTGTAATCATTCCCAGGAATTGGTACTAGGAAAATTGGCTCACAAAAAGAAAAATGAAGCTGTTTCTGTATTTCATACTATAAACAAAGCTCCAAGTGGAATAAATACCTAAATGTTAAGGATGAAAATATAAAGTCAATAGAAGAAAATATAGAAATATATATATTTGCAACCTTATGGTAGAGAGGGATTTGTTCTGAGAGATTTGCAGAGCACAAACTATAAAAAAAAATTGATGCACTTGGAATACATCAAAATGAATGATTTCTGTTCAATGGAGGGCACAACAGAGGAATTAACAGATGGTGAAAATATAATTATTGTGTTTAATAGACCATGATCAATATTTAGAATATACAAGGGACTGTACAAAATTAGAAAATTGAAGGGAGGAGAGCAATATGAAAGAGGACAAAGTATATGAATTAGCAATTTTTTAGGAAGAGAAACATGCATATACACACACATCACTATTAGAGACAAATGAAGTAAAAGGAAGAGACGCCATTTTACCGTTCAATAATTAAAAGCTTGGAAAGCAGGAAGTACTATCAAGTGCTGGTAAGGATGTAGGAAAATAGAAATCCTCATGTATTGCTGCTGGACATGCAAGCTGGTGCATATATTTTAGAAAATCTAAGTATCTAACCTGAATCCCAACAATGGGATGCTAGGATCGGAATCCAGGGAAACGTGTATAAGAATGGTAGTCACAGTGTAACTTGTGGTAAAAGGTTGTAATCAAGCTAGCTCTATAGTACTAGAGGAGTGGGCAGGAATACTACAGTGGAATGCAGTGAAAGAGTTGTTTATAGCACCATGGATGAGTTTCTAAAACAATGTTGAGAGAATACAGAAGAATGAGACTTAAAAACTACAAGTTACATACAAATTTAAAAACCATGAATAAAATAGCCCTATGTATTTTTGACAGAAATTTATGTACACAAACATGTAAAGAGGATTCTGAATAATACATTAATTATGAAAAAGTGAATTTCTGGGGTGTGAAGGGAGGGAATGGGACTGGACATAGAGGACAAAAAGGAAAAGGATAAGAAAAGTGAAAAGAAAAAGAAGAGCTTTTCATGAGCTCATGATAATGTAGCTCATCAACTAGAGCCTGTGCTAAGTCAATTCTGTTCCATTATCCTGAAGGAGAAATAAACTTCTGGGACATTACTTCTTTTGGCAATGTTAGATCCAGGTGCTCAGAAAGTATCTTCAGGTATGGGTCTCTGTATCTTCACTGTCTTTGCCTCAGTGTTGGCTCTCATATCAAGCCAGCTCTTTTTAAGGAGAACTCATAGCTGTTTCAGGTTCATAGTCTACCAGTTTGGCAACTCAACTGAAAGAAAGTGGCCTTGTTACTATCAGCAGTATTACTCTGAAGGATGTCTTTGCCTTTGATTGGTTCATTTTGTGTCCTGTGTCCACTTCCAAACCAATCATATGTCAAAGGACTATGGGTGCCTGGGTCACATGCCCATCACTAGAACCAGGTAGTAGGAATAGTCCCACATGTAGAATATGGTGGGGTGTTACTAAAAGCAAAAAATCAAAGTGGTATGGCTAAGACTATAAGGAAGTAGATTCTGGGGAGGGAAATAACCACAGGTCACTTGAATCAATGCTGTTTGTAGAATAGTTGATGTGATTTGCCATCTTTATTCTAGAAAAACAAGAAAAAATGAAGAATAGCTAACTCTAAGTATCTGAAGCACTGCCACTTGCATGATACTTGTTTTATATGATTGCAAGGAATAAAGTCATGAAAAACAGATAGACTTGGTGTAAAGAGCAACTATGTTATTTGTAGAGTTGACTATCTTAGCAGGAACGAGTAATGAACTCCCCATCACTGGACATATTCAAGCATACACTAGCCAGCTGTTTGGCAGGAATTCTGTAGGAAAAGGCCCAAGGATTGGGAGGATAGTTGGGTTTGGTCAGTGGTTCTGAATCACCTGGACAACTATGGAAGCCTTGATTGCTGGGCCCTTGTCCCAAAGTTTCTGGTTCAGTAGGTCTGGGGTGGGGCCTCAAAATTTGCATTTGTAATAAGTTCCCAAGTGAAGTTGATGCTATTGTGGAGGGACCTCCCCTTGAGAACTGTTGGGTTTTTAATGAGCTGGTTGTAAATGTTCTAAAAACCATTATCTGTACCGCTGGGGCAAACCTTCCCATCTTATTTCTTTAGTACCTGAAATGTGTACAGTTCTGGCTATATGGGTTCTTCCATAGAAAATGACATTTGTACAGTTCTCTGTCTTGTGTGTCATTGAGAATATTAGAATCATTAAACAATCATGCATTATTCACGTGCTTTATAAAATAGTCTAAGGAAAAAAAATACATTCAACATGTTTTTCCTCTGCTTTCACACCAACGACAACAATCAACAAAGACTACTACCGTGACCAAATGTGTGGCGTCCCCCCCGCAAAACACACCAAGCAGCGGACACCAGCTGGATGTCCTTTGATTCAGTTCAGAAGAATTTGGATGTTATGTACCTGGAGATAGCCTCAGATTCCACAGGTTGAGGGCTCAGTGCCGTGAGACTGGACCCTGACTTTCAGATACCAGTTGGAAGTCTGGGCCTCTGGAACTTCCAACTGACTGACTATAAATCAGGGACCCCATGGTTCCTTCTTTGAGTTCACTCAATTTGCTTGAGCAGCTCAAATAATTCAGGGTAATACTTAGGTTTACCAGTTTATTACAGCAAATATTACAAAGGATACTGATGAAAAGATGCATAAGGTGAGGTACGGAGGAAAGAGCACGGAGCTTCCATGCTCTCCCAGGGCTCTCCCAGGGCGAGCCATCCTCCAGGAACCTTCGTGTTCAGCTATCCAGAAGCTCCCTAAACCTGTTCTTCTGGGTTTTTACAGAGGCTTCATTATGTAAACATGACCGACTAAACTGTTGACCATTGGTGATCAACTTCACCTTCAGCCCCTCTCTCCTCCTGGGAGATTGGGGAGTGGGGCTTGAAAGTTCCAGTCCTGTAATCCTGCATTGGTCCTTCTTGTGACCAGTCCCATCCTGAAGCTACCTAGACTCTTAGAGGCTGCTAGCTACCAGCTAATCATTAGCATACAAAAAGACATCACTTTGGAGTTTCTAAGGATTTTAGGAGTTGCATGCCAGGAAATGGGGTTGAAAACCAAATACATATTTTACAGTAAAATAAATAGTCAACTATTTTCTAATTTCATCCTTTTTATAATCCTTTCTCTGTTTTTCCATAGAGTGATCCATGTTCATCAATTTTGTACTAGGCTGTTCCTGAGTTAGAAAAATGAAATCGTTTTCTAGGGATGGTGTTTTTTAGTCATTTACAAAGTGCGTCTTAGTCATTCACAAAGTAACTTTATTGTGTACTGGCATCCACCTGATTTAAAAGTCATTCCTTGGTGCTAGATGGATTTGGCTTGTCTCAGCTATGCCATGTGCCAGATTCCCTTCAGCTTCCCTTTCCTGCCCCCGGCCCCCCATGGCGTTCCCTCAAAAGGAAGATGCAGAACATTTCAGGTACCTTGCTGCTTTGTGGCCCTGTTACAACCAGGAATTGTTCTAGTTTTGAACTCCGTTTTGCTCCTTCCTTCCTTTTAAAAAAATTTGTTTTTTCTCCTTAATTTTGGAGATTTTGCTAGAATAGTTCTCTGGGGGTGCTCATGTTTTTGTAATTGTAGGCAAGGTCAGACAGTGTTTGCACTTGCTGTAAATTGCTATTATATGAACATAAAACCATTTGAGAGAAGCATTTAAGAATTAGAAGGCTTATAGTTAATACTTAATGAAAATTTTCAGCTTAGCAGAGATGACAAAATAGATGGGTAAAAATAAGTACCTGACAAATAGGGCCTTGTGGGTTTGAGTTAAGGTGGCACCGTGAGGTGCAGGGGGAGGAAAGGGGAAAGGCTGTTTTGTTGTCCAAGTGCAAACTTCTGCTTGAAAATTGCTAACTCTAATCAAGGAAACACTGGTAGGGAGAGTGGAGTATTTTAGAAAGACTTGCCCAGAATGCATCTTGGTGAACATTCAATGAGGAACAATTTCAATGGCATCCTCTCTGCAACTAAGAATCTGTAGTAATGGAATTTGCTTTCTTTAAGGTGGTATATGAGCTGAGTTTCTTATTTGAATTCTATCCATTGTCTTTTAGACTTCAGCTGTGAGGACATGTCGTTCAGATTTGGCCAACATCTCATCAAGCCCTCTGTGGTGTTTCTCAAAACAGAACTGTCCTTCGCTCTTGTGAATAGGAAACCTGTGGTACCAGGACGTATCCTTTTTTATCTGGAGAGGAAAAATAAAAGTCTTCTGAGCCTAACCAGCCAAATGAATATAAATGTAAGATTGGCCTCCAGTCTGTCCAAAAAGGTAAAGAAAGAATCCATCTCCCTCCCATTTTGAAGACACCAGGTAAGATGTTACACACATTTATTCTGAATCCAGTTGGTGGCACCAGTAATATGCTTGATCAATGTTGCAGAACTTCTGAAGAGAGTTGCTTAGCAACCGTGGCTTTGGAGGTGAATTTTTGCTTGACCTTTTCACTATCATAGCTGAGTAAATAAATAGGTGCTTCTGAAATGAGCCCAGTGAATATCACGGGCACTTGGTTTTCAACTTATCTGTTGTGAATTTTAATAGTAGCTTGGGTGGTGCCTTTGTGATGTGGAAGCAAGATATGTGCGGATTTGAGACTGACACTGTTGCTTTACCTCTTGGAGATCATTCAAGTTGTGCGTTTTATTTAAATTTATATATATAAATATACTTACAATTTTTTTAAAAAAATTAGGACCTGAAATAACATTTTCTCTTGGGAAAACTACCAGCTTATAGATCATCGGCCAGTGTCATTGGTGGGTAGAGTTGTTTTATTTCCCTCTGACCACTGAGTTGCGGTCTTTCCTCCTACAGACTTCAGCAGGAGCTTTATTCTTTTGCAGTGGGAATAACAAGTATTGGTGAAATGCTTGGGGAGTTCTTTTTATGTTGTTGAAAGTATCACCCCTGATTGTGTGCATATGAATTTTGTACTGACTTCAGGATGTTTTTCTCTTTCCTCCTTAACTTAGTTTACTAAGCAGAAGGCAACAGAATAAAATTTAATATTTTCAGATAATAAGTATTTTCCACACTGAGACATGATTTTGCTTTGAAATGAATTTCTTAGAAATTCCGAATGTACAAATATGCCAAGAGGTTTTTCAGAGTAAGCTGCATTTTTTTTTTCAGTGAAAATGTGGAAAGTGCTTGAGAACTTCATGAATAATCTTCCTTTCTAGCCATGTAACTATTGTATGCTGAAAAAAAAAAATACAAATAAGAGAAGCGTGTACCAAAAGATAATTGTGATTGTATTATAGACTCCCAAATTTCTGGAATCCAAATTCTAGTCAAATAAATTGTATTAATTTAGAAAACCAATAAGCAATAATCTAGTAAATATGTAAGTTTTTCTTAATATTTAAAACTCTTCTTTTAAATGTATAAAATGAGTCTAAATAATATTAGAAAACTGTTTTCTTCTGTTTATTGAAAAAAGTACTGGAATGATTTAGAAAGGCCCTAGAAAACAGAACAATTTTTTAAGTTTAATGCCAATTGTGTATTGAATTCTTTTAAAAGACCTGAATTTCTTGAAGTAACATTTTATTTTGCTGTAAGTTTGTGGTGGGCTTTTTCCTTTGGGGTTTTTAAAAGCAAAATGTCTGTAAATTAAGGTGTTGAAAGAATATGATTTAAATGCCATCTCTCTCTACGTGCCAGCTTTAATTGACTTTTAGAAAAGAAATAAAGGGACCTGGGATGAAAATGTGAATTTAGACAAGATTTGTTTGTCTAAATTCACTCTCATTCCTATGAAAATGAGAGGTCACAGATGCACTACCTTTTTTTTTTTTTTTTCCTCCTTTTGAGGCAGAGTCTCACTCTGTAGCCCAGGCTAGGTTACAGTGGCACGATCTTGGCTCAGTACAATCTCTGCCTCCTGGGTTCAAGCGATTCTTGTGCCACAGCCTCCCAAGTAGCTGGTACCACGGGCAGGCGCTACCACCCTGAGTTAATTTTTGTATTTTTAGTAGAGATGGGGTTTCGCCATGTTGGCCACTTTTTAAAATGATTAATAATGGAATGAACTCTTGTTTGTAGTTTTTTTACTCATATCTTAAGAGTGACTTGATTTTTCAGACTTTTTAACAAACTCAGAAAATGTGATGTATAAAACCAGGGCATATGTGAGTCTGAACTCAAGAAAAGTAGAAATGTCTATGTTTAGGAAAATATCTGTAGTGTGAATAGTGCGCAAGTAGTGAATACTAACTAGTTTCTTTCTGGATGGCACTGGTGTTGCCGTTTGGGAAATGAACCCTGTTCAGTTACTATATATTTGAGTAAATACTTGGAGAATATTTTATTAAAATTAACACACTTCAGTTTGTTTGGAAGGTAGCAAGAAGGATCCAACCTTTTCTGATTATAAGAACAATGAGAACTGGAGCATTTTTAAAATCAGTATACTCTGTAAGGCTAATTAACATCTGCACTATTTAAAACAGTCTCAGGCCAGTAGACAATGTATTCAGACAATCCTTCTTATGTGATGATTTTGTAACTTTTTATTTTACTTTACCTTTATAAACTCTGCCATGTTACAACTGGGAGACACATCTTAATAAGGTACTCATTTGCTTGCGGAAAGCTCTAGACTTTTGCCCTGAGATTTGAGAATGGAAGATGTGGATAGCTCTGTCCACTAACATTTCATAAATAAACGGTGAGATGTCTGGAGTGGGCTTTTATCTTCCTCCAGTGATCTATCCTGCCTGCCCTAGTCTAGCCCTTAGGTGTGGTTCATGTAGATTTATGATGTCTCCCTGCCTCTGGGCTTTTCCAATCCAGCCTATAACTTTATCTGAACCACAGCCCTGACCATATCATTCTTCTCTTCCCTTGTGAGTAAACCAATAATGAATGTCTGTTTTTTGAGGATAAAGTCCAAATTCCTTAGAATAGTTTTTAAGGACCTTCATTGTACTGGCTCATTCTCCGCTCTTTCCAGCTGTTTCCTGAATATGTGTTGTACTATCCCTTTACCATACTTTCTCCTGCCTCTCGCCTCAACTGGAGATTCTCCCCATCCTTTTCATTTCAACTGAAGTGCTTTGATAACTGTCCCACCCTCCTAGGGAGAAGAACAAAAACAAAACCAAAAAACCCTTTCCTCTTTGTTTGTGACACTCACTTCCTTATTCACATGTTGATTCATTCAACACTTTATTACTGAGCTCATACTCCGTTCCAGGTACCATGATCAAACACATAGTCCAGTCTGCCTCGTATCTGAAGTATGTGCATCCCTATTTCTGCACCGAGTCTTTCCTTCCTATGGACGGGACCTGCTCTTGCCCGTCTCTTTTTTCTTAGCATCCAAATGTATTATGTTCACTGAATCTAAAGTGAGACAGGAAACATCAGGAGCATATGCATTGTTCCAGTTAACGGAATAGGGAGACAGGGTGTGCTGAAATCCCACCTCTTCCCTATTCCCATGCACGAGGCCAAGTCTTGTCACCACTTTTTTCCAGATGTTTCAGTATCATGTCCAAGCTAGATTTTCCCAGCTTCCCCCTCATCCTTTGTCCATTACAATTCTGTTTACAAGTGTGTGAGTGTAGGGAGTTAAATCTAAAAGCAGTGAATGAATTGATGGCAGATGGGAAAAGATTCTTTGCCATTTCTTTACATGTTAATTTGTGAATGGACCAATCTGTGTTTTAAGGGCAGTATATTGGCATCTTTATGTAAAATGGAACATTTTGTTTTGTATGTTTGAGGAATTCTTCTTAAAAATGGCATTCAGGTGCCCTTTGGGGAGTGTGCCATTCATGAGAGACTTGTAAATGTCATCTTTGAACTTGTGGCTCTTATAACATTTTGCTGCCCCCCACTAACACTTATTTCTTATGACTTTGCTCACTGACTTTTTCATAGCTTTCAGAGAAAGAAAAAGAACTGTCAAATCAGGGGCCAAAGATATGCTTTTGAAGCAGGATGGTTTGCTTCATTCTCAGAACAGCCACTTCAGTCCCTCCTTGTTCCCACCTGAAGCAAACACTTCTGTTCCTTGCCAGCACTGTTTAAAGCCTATTGAATAGGCTTTGGCTTCTGTGGTGCAACACTTAGAATAATATGTCAGAATGTCTTTAATCCATTAATTTCTTGTTACTGGAAAATGCTTTTCAGAGTTTCTTGGTGATAGAATCATTTTGAAGAGTACACATTCAGAATTCTGCAGCAAAGATTTTATTCATGTGTCTCAGTGCAGCCCAGCTATTGTTCATGGCTTAAATAAATTTGAACCATTATGGTTAATACTTCTCCTTACCCCTCCTCCCTTTGCTTTGTGCTGTGTCTATCTCTCTTCTTGAGTTGAGCATGAAAATGAATTTAAACATCAGTGGTATCCATTTGAAGACTGGGGCTTTTGTTGTAAATAAAATTATTCATTTGTTATGTTCTGTTGTTTTCAGCAGAGAGTGTATTGATCTCTGCATTGCTATTCTGAATGGCGTAAGGAGCTGCAACATGAGAGAGACACAGCAACATTTGTGGATGAATTGAATAGGGTGTGTGATGACAGACAGAAACCTTGCTCACTGATCATACTGTATTCTACAAATCATTCATCAAGAGTTTATTGAATCAGTTATTAAAAAGAGCAGATTTTTCCAACCAAGACCATCACACGCAGAATGTTACCAGGGCCAAACAACATTAGGATGATGCATGGAGGGACAGCCTTACAAAGTATATTTGTGAGAGAATTAGACTAGGTAACTTAAAGAACATTTCTGCTGACACATTAGAAATAAAAAGTTTGCTACAATGCAAACTGTGCTCCAAGATCCAACTTCAAAAGGTAAAAAAGAAAACTCTGACAACCGTCTTTTAATAAAGAATATTATTAATGTTACCAGGGCCAAACAACATTAGGATGTTAATTTTCCCCAAAGAGCAATGTTAAGTTTCCCCAGTTTTCAGACTGTTACCATGTTGAATGCTCCTGAAATAAGTGGAAAAATAATAAAAATAGCTTCATTACTTAACAGTGATTCTTACCAAATAGATGCTATAGATAAAAGCGCCCTTTTAGTCGTTCCATAAAAATCAGAAATATTTGTCATTTCCTCAGTGGGTTGTAATCTTGTGAATTCCTTTAATTGTTCAGGAAGCTGCAGTTATTAGTGATCTTCCATTTCTCTAAAGAGTTTC